ATGTTTTACCATATTTGTTGCATCCTGGACAATGTTTTCAACTCTTTCTAACTCATTCTCTTTTCATCTGTTACTAATATGCTGTTTGGCCCTCCCATTCAATTTTTAATTTTAATTACTATATTTTTCATTTTTAGAAATTTTATTTGCTCCTTTTACAAATTTCCATAGTAAATGGAAATTTAGTCTTCCATCACTCTTTTCCATTCATTCTTTTAACATTTTAATAATTTAAACAATTTTATATTCTCTTTCAGATTTTTCAGTAATCTCAGGATCATGTTAAGTACTTTGCCTGCCTATCCTCACTCCTACTTGATTATTTATAGTGTATCTGAACAGAGTAGTTTTCTGTATCTTCCTAGATGCTCTGGAGGTTTCAGTAGCCAAGACTAGTACCCCTGCCGTTAATTTCACAGCTTGAAAAGTCTTGTACCGTATGAATGGTATAAATTTGGACTTCAATCCATAGGCTTGTGATTTTAGCATCTTATGAGACACATTTTTCACAACGGGGGGCATGAAAAGAAACAAGACTTCCGGGAATGTTCCGGGGCTGGAAGGCATTGAGTGCTCATTAATGAAGACAACTGTTCCAGAGTCTCATGTTTTTGCATACCTTCAATTAGAGACTTCTGTTATAGGTCTAAGGTGATATCTGTGATGTCTTCTCTCCCTGCCTGGTCTTTAAAATCCCAGCCCCTAGATATTATGATGCATATTTAGGTTCCAAATTCATTGAGCCATGAAGGTGCCAGCTTTAGAGTGTGCCTTTCTGTTTTAACTTCCCTCTGTACTTTTAGATTTCCTTTTGTTTCTTCTTTCTAAAATGAAGTATGCATTAAATTTGGGGAGTTATGATTTATTTAGCATGTCTATGAATTTCTAACATCAGGATGGATCTGAATTAACTCAGGCTGCATGTTGTCAGAAATCTCTGGCTTTCCTTTCTAGCGTCCTTGCTTCCTATCAGGGTTTTTTCCCCACTGATCTGCCACGTAAGAGTAAATTTACAAAAATCCAGTTTATTCCTTAGACTCTTGACCCTAAAGCAAGAGAAAACTCCTTTTGAGGTTTCTATGGATTCCCACTCTCCTCATGTTAAAGGAATAAACACTAGAAAATCACTTACAACAGCAGTTCATGTATTTATTAGAATCAAGGCTTTAAACTTACTTAATTTTTAGGTATATTTCCTCCTATAAAAATATATTTTTTAGACTACCCCCTCATCTCTGTAGTTTATCTAAAGCCTACACCTTGCTGATACAGCCCTGTTCTTTACTACCTAACTCTTCTTGTTTCTATGGGAAAAAAAAAAAAAGATGTCACAAATTGCTTTCATTTTATTCTGTATTTTATATTTTTTTCTAGAAATATCTGGAAAAGACCATGTTTTAGACCATAATTTTTAGAATTATGGCTCCTTCAAATGATGGGTAATTGTAGCAAGTAACAGAACTTGAATTTGGAGACTAAAGAGAAAGAACACAATGTACTGGAGTTGAAGCCCAGTATAAATTCTTCTATTTCTAATGCTCATTTAGTGAAGATCAGACTGAACACTGACTCTAATTGAGAAGGGGGAGCCTGGGCTAGAGGGTATTAATGAATATTGCTGGTGTGTGTGTGTGTGGGTGTGTGTGTGAGAGAGAGAGAGAGAGAGAGAGAGAAGAAAAGTGAGATGGGAGAGAGAAGGGGGGAGACAGGGAGAAGGAGAGGGGGAGAGAAAGAGAGTGAGTTTGAGACAATGACTCCAGGGTAAACAAGAGGGTACTGAAGAGAGGAAACCTCCCATTGTCAGGGGAGTGAGTGATTCATTTTTTTTTTTTTAATGCAAGATACCAAGGGAAGGTGATGACTGCCTAAATTTCCTACATGTTAGTATATAGGACATAGCACATTCCACTGACTTAGAGAAAGGGAGGGAGGAAGGAAAGGAAGGGAGATGACATTGCAGAATGGGTGAGACTGTGTGATTATTACTATGTGATGATTCTTTATGATCTTAGTGATCCAGAACTATGGAATTCACTCTACATAACCCTTCTTTTCATTGTTGTTGCTGTTTGTTATTGGAAGGCACCAGATTCAAGTGCACAGCATCTAACACCATTCGAGTGGAAAGCTCAGAGGCCTCATATCCCGGGGCCACTGAAGTCTGTTGCCTCTGGTGGTGATTCCAAGCATCCAGCAGCATATGAAATCTATTTGTCCACCTACTTTTAAAACCTGATCTGGCTGATAACATAGGTTTTTATGTTCACCTATCTGGAAATTTTTTTAAAGTTTTAATTTTCAGTTGTTTTAGCATCAGAGGACTTTTTATAGACCCAAAGGAATTAAGATTAGAACAAAATAACTGGATCTTCCTATTCTCTTTTCTAAAGTGACACATTTTCCCTCTCCTTTCCTTGCACCCACCAATCAGAGGTACAAATGAGATGTTATCTTGGAGATTGTGTGTTGGAAAACAAATGCTTTATAGTATTTATCCCACCTGACACTAACAGAAAAATAGTGTTTGTTTCTTCATAATATCTACACTTCCAAAATACTTTATGTCAATATTTAAATAAATGATGCATGCAAGACACGTAGCTGTTACTCTTTACATAGGAATGCTCCACTACAGTCTTTAATTGTACAAAACCTCCACCTGCTTATTATTTAGTTAAATGATCAACTTTTTCTCACTCATATTTTCTTTTCAATGACCTTCTTGATTATGTGTGTGTTTATAAATAGGTAGACTTAAGCAGATTTTTTTAAAAGTGAAGTTGCTTTAAAAATGCTGTCAATTATGCTTTGAGGTTATTTCTACCATTCATTTGTTTCTGTCCTTATGTCATTTTCAATGCTTTTTTTTTTCTTCTCACATTAATTCACATCCATTTTCTTCACAGTAGTAATTGGTTGTTTTATTGCTTGTCTAACAGGCCTTTTCTCTCCTCATGTAAATTCCTGTTTTGTTTCTTTGTGCTTTTTGATTCACTGAAAACATTTTTCCTTCTTTTTAGGGAGAAACTCAAACGAGTAAAGGACTCTTCCATATTTTTATCCTTGAATTCTTTCACACATAAATAATAAACTTAGTCTCACTCTTTTGTGTTTATCCAGCAATAATACCAGATCTTACATATACAGAATGCTAGCCCTAGCTATGTAATTGCTCAACCTAATGACTGGCGAATATATTTATTTTCTAGTAAAACAGAACTATATTATCATGACATTAAAATTAAAAATTTATTTCTTCTGTTCAAGAAAGAAACTTTCTGTTCAGTCCAATAAGTTTTCTGGGACAAATCAGTCTTCTGTGAGTTTGCGGATAGCCATTTAATCAATAAGGGATTCTCTTTAGCATTTATTTTGTACTTTTTCAGACATTTATTTTTTTTTATATGGGATATGGAAAAAGAGAAGGAATGATGATAACAAGAGGACATGTTGCAATGCATTATAGTTCATCTCAGCTCTATGTTTGAGGCTGGCTAGATTGTCATGTAAAAGCATCAGTGTTAAGGAAAGAGAACATTTTGTGCCTGCATAAAAATTACAGTCTTCTACATATAAAGTGATAGTATTAAATTTGGGTGAAATTAAACAGCTCTTTAATATAAAAATGTTAGAAGTTTATGAAGATGAAGCAAGGACAATAGTGAGATTTTGACAAATGATTATAGATAGACTTGAAAGATATTAGTTAGAATGACATTCATTCATTCATTCCTTCATGAGTGCCTACTATTTGCCGGGCACAGTGCTAGACGCTAAAATGGTCCTACAATAAAGCATAGGTCAGATGAAAATGGTGAACTTGGAAATTTGGGTCTTTAAAATAGATTATGAGAAGATAGATAAATAGTTTAGATTTGAAAAATAAGTTCCTTTTGAAAAGATAACTGGGCATAGGGAAGTTTCTGCAATGACTGTATCACAATTTTGAATAAGAAATAAAGAGAGCATATGGTATTAGAGCTTATCCCAGAGGAACCAAAACAGTAGTAACTGCTGATGGAATATGATGTTTTCATTACGACCACGAGATAAACCTTGTAAGAGTGTGGTAAATATCTTTATTATCCCTGAGGTCCAAAAAACCTTTTGTGTCCAATACCAAAGCAAAGAAAATATTGATCTGTTTCTTTAACACTAATTATTTATGTGTATCATTCACAATCAAAGGTCCAATCTAGTTTTTTTTCCTGAAATTCTGATGCGAAGACCAAAGGAGTTCAGAACATTTAGTTCAGAACATTTTAACTCAGCATGTGCTTCCTATGAAATATTTTTTAGCTTAAAATAGTATTATGAAGGTGTACCACATGACTTATTTTCAAAATGTTGCTCTACATGTGAAGAATGAAGATTTGTCAGTACTGAAGATACTCAGATAATGTGCTATACTTGGAGACCCCAAATTTCGCAATATTTCCAAATGTATTTGGAACAATGACAACAGCCCAAGCTTCCTTTGAAGGTACAGGTTTCAATTGATAAAATTGATACAGGATTCAATAGTATAAATAGTTTAGAAGCATATGATCTCATGTGTTTTGTAAAATGTATACTTTCTAGTCAAGCTTCACATATAACCAATTTGTGGGTGAGTATAAGCAGCGGTGTTAATTTTCAGGCCACTTTCTTATTGATGATATTTGGAGCAATAGCAATAAATTTCCCTGTCCAGAGTCTTATGTTTGACTGTCATTCTTCTGTGAGTTGGTGGCAAAAACCTGCTTGGCATCTGCAATAATTTCAAGACCCTCATCAGTAGTGGGAAGTAGTGAGAGACTGAGAAAAGAGTTCTATTATTACAGCACACTGAAAGTTTATTTTGGATACAATTTAAAAGGAGCCTTTGAAAATAATTCAAAATAAATATTCTAGTTTACTGGGATTTTTCTGAGCTCATTTAAATTCGAGAAATTCCATTTAGGTACTTTTTCCAAAAGACTGACCTGCATTCTTAGTACATAACACTATTCAGTTCTTACCAGTTTTGTAGCTTCGTGCGCAAGACCTTTAGCTTCTTGGGCAATTTCCTCAGCTTCATCAATAGAGTCCTTAATATGGCTGTAAGCATTGAAGGCTGCAGTGGCATTGAAGGAGATGTTTTTGGCCTCATCAAGGATTCTGTTGGGATTACCCCCCAAAAAGAACATCAGAGCAGTTGGTACTCAAATGAAGAACATTCTACTTATAACAAATATGGCTTCCAAATGATCACAGCCAAGATCATTATGATTCCAAGTCATAATGAGGTATCTACTTATTGTATTATAGTTTTCAATTTAAACTCATATTCCTAAATAATTCAGCTGTGAAATACTACCAACACATTTTTAAACACCCGCAGTATCCTTCAAAAATTTCTGCAACCACGTGCACCATGCAACTATGAGCAGGGAGATGATCCTTTAGGGCATTTGTAAAGCTTGCTATATGTTTCAGAGCACATGTACCATATTACTGGAATGAATTTCACAAATCTCTTTAGGGGAGGTGTACTGCCCAGATGAGAACAAATGAATCTCAGAAGGTTAAATAGCTTGTCTCAGGTTACATGACCAACACATCCCTAATTAAGGACCTGGAGCCTGCATCTGTGGACTTCTAGCTTACCTGCTAAATGGGCAAAAGTTTACTATAAAATGAATTGTGCATGAATTGTGGCCAGGGTCTTCAAACATTAATAGTTTCCTTTGTATCAATGATATCAAGTCCTGGAATAGAACCTTACACATGTTATATATTAAATAACAGATCTGAGGCAATTGTTCTTGGGGCTTATAGGACTGATATTTATTATGACAATCCCAAAATTGTAGGGGAAGCATACCAGTTAGACCTAGAAGGCTATTTATAGGTCAAACACACTTTGCCACTTGACCTTGCTCCTCTGACCCACGTAAGAGTCCCAGCTATAGTAAGCTGTTATTTCACAGGGGAATATGTAGGGTCTCCCTGGAGTTTGAAAGAGAAGAAACAGACTTAATGCCTATGTATTTGGCATTGTCAAAAGCCAATAAATAGTTTTGATTTCATTAAAAATATAAAACTAGAATTTGAAGCAGGATGTGTGTTTATCCATTATTATTTAAAATGCTAATAAAGCAACCGCTGTGCTCTCTAATAAAGAACAGAAAATATTTTTTCTCAGTATAGCCTAGGGCTATGTTCACTCCCCACCAAGCCGTATTTGAATCCACTTTGAACTCAGACTTTTGATGCTGCTTCAGTGGAGCTTTGCCCAGACCCTCCTAATTAGGCTCTTCCACAGAAAGGCCATGTAGCTCGTATGTTCCTAATTAGAGAAATCAAGATTTGAAAGAGATTCTCTACCATTTCTGCTAGTCACAACTTTTGGACAAGTGTCAAGATACATGGACATTTCCAACAACAAATGACATACCCATCAAGGACAGCAGATGAGTCATTCAACTGAGCCGCATGGCTCTCAGCCTGGGACACCTTCTCAGCAAGGTTCCTGTCCTTTATTTCCTGGGCAAGGTCATCGATTTTATCTTCAAGCTCTTCAGACATGGGTGGCAATTTAGTTTGAATGTCTTCAACATACTGATATATAAGAAGAGAGGGCATTTTAAGTAAGTGGATCCAAGCTTCCTCTCAGTTACTAATTTCTCTAGGAGATATAATTACACACTTTTTTTAATGAAACTTCAATTTTACTAATATAGCAAGAAGAGAATACAGAATAAAAGCTGTTATTTAATGAGAGAGATTAGGAAATATATGGAGCCAATTTACACCAAGAAGAACTGTCTTTTTCTAAGAAAATGCTTCTTCATAGGTATACATGCATAAATGATAGTCATTAGGATTTTTTAGAGTATATGTGTTTCTCTTGCCATATAGTACAGCATCTACTGCATTATGCACTACATTGAAAGTCTGCTTATAGGTTTACATTTCTCTTTTAACCAATTTTATATAAATATTGAAGCAGATTTTAAGAGCTATCCTGGAAACAAGAAATGCCCTTCATCACTGTGGAGAAAAATACAGGTTTATAGGAGTGTTGTGAGTATTCTCACACAGGCACTCGTGTCTGTTGGGAGAACAATGTGAAGTTTTAACTGTTGCCAAGAGCTAGGCACGGTCACAATGGAATCAAGCAGAAACGATCTGACACCCACAAGAAAAAAAAATTAGTATTTGCTTATGTTACTGAGATTTCTCACTGCTTCCCACTTATGAAATCCTATGCCATTGTTATTTTCCTTTAACTTTGGCTTTTATGAAATACTCACATCTATGACTGAGTTGATTTCGCCTGCAAGACGGTTGGCTTCCTCAAGTATGTCCTTGCCTTCTTTTAAAGTGTTCTCAGTTTGTTGTTTGTCACGTTCAATAGCCTCCTTCTTTTTCTGTAGTACAGTATGAACAGAACATCAAAACCCTATCCAACCCAATATTCCTTCCTGACTTCCTTGAGCTGACTGAACACAGGCTTTGCAAACAAGGCACATCACGTTGACGATGAGGCTGGATGGGAATGACATCAACTACCTGGCCGCTCCTTCAAGAGTTATTTTATTTAAATGTCTATCTAGGTGCTTTCCTCCTCCCAATGTGAGAAAGTCATCCAAGAGAAGAAAAGTTATGTGATGTTAGCTGAGGAATTAAGAACTATTTTTGAAGCAAGATGGACACCCATTTTAAACTCAAGTGTAAGTGCTGAATATATATTCCTGAGCATGTGGTAGCAGCCTGAATTACATTGGAACTAGACATTACATTCCAGAATCGAAGTCCAAATGAGTATTTTGTGAGCATAAACATAAGCAGATTTAGTCTAGGGGAGTTCTGTAAAAATTGGAAGAAGTGAGATTTTTAAGGGAACTTAGGGGAAGTGCTTTTCAAAAAAAGAGAAACGAACACATGGAAGAATAAACTTAATGGATTGTTCCATAAAAAGAGAGCAAGCTCTAATTTTTCCTTGATGCTGAGAGCTTGTCTCAAAACTACATGGAACTCATTCCTAGCCTAGAAGAGTAAAATCGACGAGAGAGAAATATTGTTATTTTTCTATTTGGAATGTACCTTTGCCTCTTTTTTTTTTTCTCCTTGATATAGCTCACTCATTCTCCCAATCGCTTGTGGATTTAAAGGCATCCATTTTAAACCTCTGCCATTTATGTTTTTATATAGATAACAATGTTAGTTTTATATTCATTTATACCTCAAGATGTGCCAGGTAGCTTATGGGCTTTTCTCATTAAGTTCTACACTAACTCGACAGGTCCTGTGTTTATCACCTTTTCAAAGAATAGGAAAATGGGGCGCCTGGGTGGCTCAGATGGTTAAGCGTCTGCCTTCGGCTCAGGTCATGATCCTGGAGTCCCGGGATCGAGTCCCGCATCGGGCTCCCT